TGTGATCACAGCCTGCGTACTAACCCTCAAAAGTACTCCCTCAGTACCTTCACCACTATGTGATCACAGCACGTGTACTAACCCTCACCAATGCTCCCTCAGTCCCTGCACAGCCTGTGATCACAGCCCATGAACTAACCCTGATCGGTGCTCCCCATTACCTGCACCAGCGTGTGATCAAAGCCTGTGTACTAACCCCCACCAGTGCTCCCTCAGTACCTGCACAGCCTGTGATCACAGCCTGCGTACTAACCCTAAAAAGTACTCCCTCAGTATCTTCACCACCATGTGATCACAGACTGTGTACTAACCGTCAACAGTGCTCTCTCAGTACCTGCAGCAGCATGTGATAACAGCCCACGAACTAACCCTCACCAGTGCTCCCTCACTGAGCTTCAGCTCCTCCTTTCTGCCAACCCAAATGTTTGCATTTTTTTCAAGGCCAACATTAAACACGTCTTCTTTCACAAAAGCCTCCCTGCTAAACCTCTGTCTCCGTGGGCTCCATTCTGACCACAAGAGTTCACATTTGATTTTTTTGTGTCATTGTAAGCTACAGGTTACTATCTACTGTGTGGTCTGTGTATATTACCCTCCCCTGCTCACTCAATTTAGGACTTAAAACCTATTGATTAGCTGATTACGGGTTACAAAAGTCCTCAAAAAATGATAGTAAAACTTTCTTCTCTCTTGACTTCCGGTCCAAATCTCATGCTAACTAGGGCCAAATCGCAGCTTACAGCAAGAAGATGCAAGTATAACGTAGTTTGCTCCTCACCTGGAAAAGCTCAACTGCAGGCTGCTGAGCCATTTTTTCCAACTCAGAAATGAGGGTTCCAAGCCGGACGGCGTCCTCTGAGCTCTTGGTGACATGGCTGTTCCTCCCGTGGGCGAGCTCTTGCTCTATCCTTTCCCGCAGGTCCAGTAGGTACAGCTCCCTTTCTCCCAGGAACTGGTGGCCCTGTTCAAACACTGACATGATGTCCTGCCTCTGACTCTGGAATTCTGTCTACAGTAAAGGCAGAGAGAGGAAAGGACTTCTTCTGGGAGGGAGGAGTTATGAGGATATGTGTGAGGTCTTCTGGGGACGAGTCCACAAAAGGGATTCCCGTGGTCACGCCCTCCCCATTCCTCAATATCCCCCCACACTGCCACCACCCTGATGCCACAGAGACTTCTCTCACCAGCAGGGCCCGAACCTCATCTTCTCCTGTTGACTGAAAATTCTGGATCCTGTCTCAGTCCCCCTTCAGAATCTTCAGATGATTTAAAATTTTACCTATGAAATTAACACAGATGGCCTCAAGATGAAGATGAAAATGCCCTCAATGAGAAAAGAGAGATACAAAGTGATTCCCGAGTGAAGTCAGACACATTGGACCTTCAGCAGCATAATAATGGTCATGTGGATGCAGAATGCTTTCTGTCCTAGTTAACGAACAAGAAGCAACATCACTGCTATGCTAGCTTAGAGCAGTTTCTTAGAATTGAGATAAAACAATAATTTATTTTCATTAATACTACAACTTACAGTGTGCTTATTTATACTTATAGTCCCTTTCCATCAAAAAATATAGACAATTTATATTTAAACTAGTTATTAACAGTGGCACCTGGGTGGCTCAGTCAGTTAAGCACCTGACTTTGGCTCGGATCATGATCGGACGGTCCATGAGTTCAATCCTCACATCAGGCTCTGTGCTGACAGCTCAGAGCCTGGAGCCTGCTTTGGATTCTGTGTCCGTTTCTGTCTCTGCCCCTCCCGTGCTCACACTCTGTCTCTTTCTCTGTCTCTCAAAAAATAAAATAAAATAAGCATTTAAAAAATTGTTTTAATTAAAAAATAAACTAATTAATAACCTATAAATAGAACAGAAAATTGAAACAAAAAGTGAAGGAAAGCATATACAGTAACTACAAATTATTGACAGGATGACTAAATTGGTTTTAAGATTCCTGTCAGCCAAGGAGAAAAGAGAACTGATTGCATAATCCTTCCTTAGCAAACAGGAGGAAACATACCAGCACCTCTAAGGCAATAATATTTTCCCTGAGATTACGTTCTGAAAGACATCTATACAGCTACGTGCTAGAGTACCACAGTTTGAAGGTGCATACCAGGAATGCTATCAAGAGGGCAAGATACTATTCTGTTAGCTGAGACCTGATCCAAATGCCTCCGAAAACAAAACAACAAGGCAACAGGACAGACTTACTATTATAAACAGATATGGAAACAAATGAGGTTTACTTTCAAAATTCAAAGGGTAACACTTTACCAAGAATTTCCCACACTAAAGACCTTGTCCCTTCACCTCATACCTGTTAGGATGGCTACCATTAAACAAAAAGATAATAAGTATTGATGAAGGTGTACAGAAAAGGGAGACTTACTGCACTCTGGGTAAAATTGTTAGCTGGTGCAGCCACTACAGAAAACACTGTGGATGTTCCTTAAAAAGGTTAAAAAATATAACTGCCACATGATCCAGCAATCTTACTTCTAAATATTTATCCAAAGGAATTGCAGTCAGGGTCTGGGGGCACCTGGGTGGCTCAGACGGTTAAGCATCTGACTCTTGATTTTGGCTCAGGTCATGATCCCAGGGTCATAAGATCGAGCCCCATGTTGAGCTCCACACTGAGAGTGAAGACTGCTTGGGATTTTCTCCCTCTCTCTCTCTCTCTCTCTCTCTCTCTCTCTCTCTCTGTCCCTCCCCTGCTTGCTCGCCTGCACACATGTGTGCATGCTCTCTCTCAAAAAAAAAAAAAAAAAAAGAAAAGAAAAGAAAATCAGGATCTCAAAAAGGTATCTGCACTCCTGTGTGACAATATTGTGTTACAGCATTATCCACAACAGCCAAGATATGAAAACAATCTAACTGTCCATCAGTGAATGACTGGCTAAAGAAAACATGGTGCATACAAACAATGGAATATTACTCAGCCTTAAAGAAGAAGGAAATCCTGGAGGACACTATGCTAAGTTAAAGAAGCCAGACACCAAAACACAAATATTGTATAATCTTATCAAACTCATAGAAGCAGAGAGTAGAAAGGCAGGTGCCAGCGCTGGAGGGGAGGAAACTGGAGGCAGTGGTCCAAGGCTACAAAGTTTCAGTTACACAAGACAGATGAGTTCTGGAGATACTGTCTAGGTCATTGTACCTACAGCCAACAATACTGTATTGTATACTTGAAACTTGCTAAGAGGATAGATCTTTTAAATTTTTTTATTTATTTTTGAGACAGAGAGAGAGAGCATGTGCACAAGTGAGGAGGGGCAGAGAGACAGGGAGACACAGAATCCGAAGCAGGCTCCAGGCTCTGAGCTGTCACCACAGACTGAGCCACCCAGGCACCCAGATGATGTATCTTAAGGATCTTATGTTAAGTGGTCTTGTTATGCACATAAATAATGACAATAATAAACAGGGTAGGAGGAAACTTAGGGAGGTCAGAGATTCATCTGTGGTCTTGATGATAGTGGTGGCTTCACAGGTGTATGCCTATCTCCAAACTCACTAGGAGTGTACATTAATATGTACAGCTTTTCTTTTAAATTTGTAATGCTTTTTTTAATTTATTTTTGAGAGAGAGCATGAATGGGTGAGGGGCAGAGAGAGAGGGAAACATAGAATCTGAAGAGGCTCCAGGCTCCTAGCTGTCAGCACAGAGCCCGACATGGGATGCGGGATTTGAACTTGTGAACAGCGAGATCATTACCTGAGCCGAAGTTGGCCGCTCAACCAACTGAGCCACCCAGGTGCCCCTTATATGTACAGCTTTTCACATGTCAGTCACATTTCAATATAATGTTTTTGTTTTTATTTTTAAAAATTCATTTATTTATTTTGAGAGAGAGAGAGAGTGAGCATCAGCAGAGAGAATCCCAAGCAAGCCCTGCGCTGTCAGTGCAGAGCCTGACATGGGGCTCAAACTCACCAACAGTGAGATCATGACCTGAGCTGAAATCAAGAGCCAGATGCCTGACTGAACCACCCAGGCTCCCAAGATAATACTTTTAAATAGAAAAAGAATTTGGACCTTGTCCCGAAGGCACCATAATAGAACCTTTTTGGCGATGAGAGTGAAGCTAGGGTCTGGCAGAACTCTTCCCTGATAAGGCTGTGCAGCCTTCTCTGGGAGAACCTCAGGGTGATGTCTGCGCTCCTGGGACTCCCGACACATAACACACAGTATTTGCTGGTCATCCTCGCAGTAATAATGGAGCCTCTCCAAATGCAGCCCACACAGCTTCTCTGCTTTTCGCTGAAGTGGTGCATCCTCTCTGGGCTGTCTCTCCTCATCTACCTTCACCCTCCAGATGTTTCCCACTAGGCTGGCCATCTGCCAGACATGGTGAATACTCTTCCCTGAAGGCTGGCTTGCAGAGAACAGTGCAACGGCTGCCCAGCAGAGTCACAGACCTGAATGATGCAGCGGTAGCAGAAGACGTGATCGCAGCTGATGGCTACGGGGTCTCTCAAGTAGTTGAGGCAGATGGACCAGAGCACCTCGCCCTCCAGCTCCCTCAAAGGGACACAGCAGCCATGAGAGAGGCCCAGACTCTGCACAGAGCTCCTTCTCAAGGCAAGCAATTACCTTCTAAGAAGACATGAAGGAAAAGAGAAATTGTGAGTTTAACCAACATCAAGGTAGAATCTGTGACAAAGGTTTTCTGTTTCGTCTGTTACCAACATGGGTTTAAGTGGGGCATTCCAGAAGATGGTGGAAAGTAAATCTCCAGGGCAGTCTAAGGGGTTTGCTTCACTCTTAGTACATCAGATCAGTAAAAAATATTTGCTGTAAATAATTCAATAGTAGAAAATTAGAATTTTTAAAATGTAGGTCTGTATCTCAAAACTCATTGAGAACATGAAAGATAGACTATTAGAAAGTACTAGGCCTTGGGGCACCTGGGTGGCTCAGTCAGTTAAGTGTCTGGCTTCGGCTCAGGTCATGATATCGGTTGGTGGGTTTGAAACCCACATCAAGCTCTGTGCTGACAGCTCAGAACCTGGAGCCTGATTCGGATTCTGTGTCTCCCTCTCTCTCTCTGCCCCTCCCCTGCTCACACTCTGTCTGTCTGTCTCTCTCTCTTAAAAATAAATAAACATTACAAAAATTTAAAAAGAAAAAAAACAAAGCACTATGTCTTTTTCATTACAAAATTACCTCTATATTTTTAGTGTTTTTACTGTAAATTCTACATTATCTTATATTCTCTACATTTTTTTATCTAGTATCCCTTTTTCCACTTTTATATTTTCAACATTTCTTTAGTATTTTATTATTTTTTTAATTTTTTTTCATATTTTTAGTTTACATCCACGTTAGTTAGCATATAGTGCAATAATGATTTCAGGAGCAGGATCCAGTGATTCACCCCCTACACATAACACCCAGTGCTCCTCCCAACAAGTGCCCTCCTTAATGCCCCTTGTCCATTTAGCCCATCACCCCCACAACCCCTCCAGTAACCCTCTGTTTGTTCTCTATATTTAAGAGTCTCTTGTGGTTTGTCCCCCTCCCTGTTTTTATATTATTTTTGTTTCCCTTCCCTTACATTCATCTGTTTTGTATCTTAAATTCTTCATATGAGTGAAGTCATATGATATTTGTCTTTCTCTGACTAATTTCACTTAGCATAAAACCCAACAGTTCCATCCACGTAGTTGTAAATGGCAAGATTTCATTCCTTTTGATTGCCGAGTAATACTCCATTGTATCTATATACCGCATCTTCTTTATCCATTCATCCATCGATGGACATTTGGGCTCTTTCCATACTTTGGCTATTGTCAATAGGGCTGCTGTAAACATTGGGATGCATGTGTCCCTTCAAAACAGCACACCTGTATCCTTTGAATAAATACCTAGTAGTGCAGTTGCTGGGTCGTAGAATAGTTCTATTTTTAGTTTTTTGAGGAACCTCCATACTATTTTCTGGAGTGGCTGCACCAGTTTGCATCCCCACCAACAATGCAAAAGAGATCCTCTTTCTCCACATCCTCGCCAACATCTGTTGCTGCCTGAGTTGTTAATTTCAGACTTCTGACAGGTGTGAGTTGATATCTCATTGTGGTTTTGATTTGTATTTCCTAATGGTGAGTGATGTTGAGCACTTTTTGAATGCTCTGTTAGCCATCAGGATGTATTTTTCATAAAAGTGTCTGTTCATGTCTTCTGTCCATTTCTTCACTGGAATATTTGTTCTTTGGGTATTGAGTTTGAGAAGTTCTTTAATTTTTTTTTTAACGTTTATTTATTTTTTTGGGACAGAGAGAGACAGAGCATGAACGGGGGAGGGGCAGAGAGAGAGGGAGACACAGAATCAGAAACAGGCTCCAGGCTCTGAGCCGTCAGCCCAGAGCCCGACGCGGGGCTCGAACTCACGGACCGCGAGATCGTGACCTGGCTGAAGTCGGACGCTTAACCGACTGCGCCACCCAGGCGCCCACATAGGTTTAGATCTTATACAATGGCATGGAAAATGTTTTATCAGTCAGGACATCCCAAGAGCTCAGTTTCCAGGAGCTCATGAAAACAGGTCTTTCTCTGAAACGTGCAGGGTTTGAGCATCTCAGTCCTATTAACTGTTTCCAGCAGATATACCTACTTTATAAGGTATTTTCCTTTTGTGACTGGTCCACAAGCTTTACAATTGTAAACTTACCATCACCATGGTACTCTAAACAGCATCTCATCTGACAAGGGACATATTTTGGAACAAAGGAAATGTGCAAACAGACTCATGTCCATTGAATTCACTGACCTTAACACATGTCCCATCACCTAGAAGAAGCTGGCTTCATAAAATGGTGCAATGCCTACTTTGAGGCTCACACACAGCATCAACTGGAAGACGGGCCCCGAGGGCTGCCCCACTGGAAGCAAGGTTCCCATTAAACCAGTGGTCAGCAGGGGTGCCTGGGTAGCTCAGTTGGTTAAGCATCTGACTTTGGCTCAGGTCATGATCTCTCAGTCCATGGCTTTGAGCCCCTCATCGGGCTCTGTGCTGACAGCTCAGAGCCTGGACCCTGCTTCATATTCTGTGTCTCCCTCTCTTTCTGCCTCTCCCCAGGTCATGCTCTCTATCTCTCAAATATAAATAAATGTAAAAAAAAAAGTTTAAAAAAAAACAGTGGTCAGCTGTATTCATCTCCTGGTGCTGTCACAAGCTACCACAAACTTTATGGCTTAAAACAACATGAAATTTATTCTCTCTGGGGGCCAGAAATCTAAGTTAGTGTCAAGACTGTAGCTAAGCTATCCAGGTATTGCTGCCTCAGCATCCGTTGTCTTTGGCCAAAGCCTGCAGGGACGGTAAAGCGACACTCGGCCCTCATACATGTGCATGCCCTACACAGCAGCCTGCAGAGTTGCAGGAAATGTAAATTTCTGCCATGACTTCCTCAACAGTGCTCATGATCAACAGTCTCTCCTGCCTCCCAGGACCATGAGACTGTGTGCCTCATAGGCAAGACCACCATGGGGCTTACCAGTATGCAACTGATCTGGTTTGAAAATCCAGCCTTAGCCTGGGAACCCCCAAAGCATCCACGCCTGAGCCCTAACAAAGGTGGGCTCCCCAGATCCTGCCTCCTTCTCCATCTTCACTCTAACTTGACCTCCCCCTGTGGCTCCCTGAGGTCTGCCATGCACCTCCTCCAGGGCTTATGAGTAGTGAACGTCTCTATCTCCATTACTCTTGGGGTCTGTTAAACCACAGCTCACCGTGTGGCATTCTGTGTTGCAGTTAACTTTAAAGTCATAACAATGAGTCTTATAGGACTGACAGCAAGATGTCAGTAGAGCTGCTTCCTTCTAGAGATTCTGAGGGAGCATCCATTTCTTTACCTTTTTCAGAGTCCAAGGGCTACCTGTGTCCCTCAGCTTATGGTTCCTCCCATGCTCACACCACTCAAGTCTTCTCTTCCTCAGTCAAATTTCATTCTTCTTACAATGACGCTTATGGTTGCATCCAGGGCCCACCTGGACAATCCAGGCCATTCTCCTCATCTTCAGATCATTGACTTAATCATATCCACAAAGTCCTTTTTGTCATCGAAGAAAACAGTCACGGGTTCTGGGGATTAGGACACTGATACCTTTGAAGCCCATTATTCAACCTACCACACTCTACGCTCTGGCTCCCCAAAATTTATGTCCACTCCATATGCAAAATATATTCACCCCATCCTAACATTCCTAAAAGTCTCAAGCCCTTACATCATCAACTCAAGTTCAAAATCTCATCTCTATATCATCAGCTCCAAAGACCCAACTGTCATAATCTAAATCATGAAAGCTGGTATGAGTGGTCTCTGGATATGACCACCCTGGATCACAAGTCCACTCTGGGGAGCTTGGGAAGATGGCAGAGTAGGAGGACCCTGAGGTAACCCCATCCCACGTTTACAGCCAGGTATCATGCACACCCAAGTCAATAAATCAGAGCACAACGCAAACACTGAGAGAACAAAGTCCACAACTAAATTAGAGAAGAAGCTGCACCTGAAGGTTTTGGAAGGTCGGAGATGGAGGCAGATGGAGGACCTTGTGCACATGAGGAGGGCAGAGAAACTGGTCCTTGCAGGAGGAAGCTCATATGGGGAAAACTAGTCCCCATAATGTTTGGCTTTAAAAACCAGACAGGCCGAGTTTTTAAAGCCAGTGGGACTTGGATCCTGGAGCTTTAAAAGTCAGCTGACTCCTCACCAGGCAAGCCTGGAGGGTGAGTGATAGCTGGGTCATCGCCCTAGAAGAGACAACAGCCTGCACTGAGAGACAATATGCAAAGAGCAGCTTACACAATGCCAGGGGCAAACAAGAGACATATCTGCTAGTACCGATTTCTCTAAAATCAAGGAAGCTGGCAGGTGCCATTTTCCTCTCCCTTCCAACCGGCCCCACCCCCCATTAACACGGGACTACCTGGGGGCGGCAGGGATGCACAGACACTATTCACCTTTGTCCAGGGCTCTGGAAAAATGTTGCTAAAGCAGTCCATGCAGCCCACCCAGCCCCAGAGCCACATTCAGTCATGCACCCCCAGGCACCATCAAGTGTAAGGCCCAGATGTCAGAAACACAGCTGAGTGGAGGGCCACTCCCAGCCACCACACTGTGCCCAGCTGCCTGCCCCCAGCCACCCTGGTGTGCAGCCTCCAGCCACCCAGCACTTCAGGGGATCCAGCATAGGATTCGTGGCCCAATATAAGATCTCTGGTGAGCACATTCCCTCAGGGCTGGCCTGCCTGGGTCCCGCTCACACCACAGACAGGAAGCACAGCCCACAATAGGCAGAAAGGAAAAGTGTGTCAGACAAAACAGCAGGGCAGGAGCAACACCATGGGATAGAGACCAAAGCTCTCCAGGTCATGGTGAACAGAGACACTGCACTGCAGGCACTCCAGGACCTCTTCCTCACTGAGTCACTACTTCCAAAAGCAGGAGACACAGTTTAGTGAGTTCATACACATGAACAGACAGAGAGAGGCAAACCACACAGGGTGAGGGAGAAATTTACCCCAAATGAAAGAAAGGAACAAGGCCACAGCCAGAGATCTAGGCAAAACAGATCTAAGAAACCTGCTTGATAGAAAATGTAAAGCAATGATCATAAGGATACTCACTGGGCTTGAGAAAAGAGTGAAGAATATGAGTGAGTCCCTTAACACAGAGTTAAGGACCAACGTAGCAGAGATAAAGGGCTCAATAAACAAAATGAGAAACACACCTGATGGAATGAACAGCAGCAAAGAAGAAGAAAAGGAATGACTTAATGACCTAGGAGACAGAGTAATGAAAAGTAATCAAGCTGAGGAAAAGAGAGGAAAAAAATAATTATGCAAAACGTGAATAGATTTAGGGACCTCAGTGACTCCATCCAACATAATAACATTCATACCATAGGAGTCCCAGAAGAAGAAGAGAGAGAAGGGGGGATGGGCAGAATATTTATTTCAGGAAATAAAAGCTAAAAACTTCTTTAATCTGGAGAAGGAAACAGACATCAGATCCAGGAGGCACATCAAATGTCCATCAAAACCAACAAAAGCAGACCCACAGCAAAACATATTTTGCTTAAACTGGCAAAATATAGTGATAAAAAAGTCCTAAAAGCAGCAAGACAAAAGAAGGCCCTAACTTACAAAAGGAAACATCAGGTTAGCGGCAGATCTCTACACAGAAACTTGGCAGGCCAGAAGGGAATAGCAGGATGTATTCAACGTGCTGAATGGGAAAAAACTGTAGCCAAGAATCTTTTATCCAACAAGTCTGTCATTCAGAATGGGAGAGATCAAGAGTTTACCAAAGAAAAACCACTAATTTAGTGACCACTAAACCATATGCAAGAAATTTGAAGATGGACTCTTTGAGTGGAAAAACCAAAAGTCACAATACAACAGTAGGAAACACAAAAGCAGTAAAATGAATATTTCTATTTAAAAAATTCAGTCAAGAAACTCACAAAATTAGAGATTGTAAAGTATGACACCACATACCTGAAACCTGGGGAGGAGAGGAATAAAGAATGGATTCGAACTTAAACGATCATCAACGTAATACAGACTGCTATATGCAGATGTTATATACAAACCTAATAGTAACTACAAATCAAAAACCACTAATACACATGCAAAAAAAAAAAGAGAAAGAAATCCAAATACATCACTAAAGAAAGCAAAACATAAAAGAAAGAAGAATCAGAGAAAAATTCAGAGGCAAAAACAAAAGTAATAATAAAATGGCAATAAATACATATCTATCAATAATTGCTTTGAATGTAAATGGACTAAACACTCCAATCAAAAAACAGAGGTGAAGCGTATTAAGGAGGACACGTGTTATGATAAGGGTATTAAGAAGGACACGGATGTTGTATTTAAGTGATGAATCACTAAATTGTACACATAAAACTAATATTACATTGCATATTAACTAACTGGAATTTAAATTTAAATTTAAAAAAAGACACAGGGTGACAGAGTGGATAAAAAATTAAGATCCATCTATATGCTACCTACAACAGACTCAGTTCAGACCTAAAGACACCTGCCAACTGAAAGTGAGGAGATGGAGAAATATGTCACGCAAATTAAGTATAAAGAAAGCTGGAGTAGCAATACTTATATCACACAAAATGAATTTTAAAACAAATACCAGAAATGGAAAAACATTCCATGCTCATGGATTGGAAGAATAAATATTGTTAAAATGTCAATACTACCCAACACTATCTACACATTCAATGCAATCCCAATCAAAACTGTACTAGCATTCTTCTTGAAGATAGAATAAGCAATCCTAAAATTTGTATGGAACCACAAAAGGCCCCGAATAGCCAAAGTAATTTTGAAGAAGAAGACCAAAGCAGGAGGCATCACAATCCCAGACTTTAGCTTCGACTACAAAGCTGTAATCATCAAGACAGCATGGTATTGGCACAAAAACAGACACATAGAACAATTGGAATAGAATAGAAACCCCAGAACTAGACCCACAAAAGTATGGCCAACTAATCTTTGACAAAGCAGGAAAAAATATCCAATGGAAAAAAAGACAGTCTCTTTAACAAATGGTACTGGGAGAACTGGACAGCAACATGCAGAAGAATGAAGCTAGATCATTTTCTTACACCATTCACAAAAATAAACTCAAAATGGACCTGAATGTGAGACAGGAAACCATCAAAACCCTAGAGGAGAAAGCAGGAAAAAACCTCTCTGACCCCAGCTGAAGCAATTTCTTACTTGACACATCTCCAAAGGCAAGGGAATTAAAAGCAAAAATGAACCATTGGGACCTCATGAAGATAAAAAGTTTCTGCACTGCAAAGGAAACAATCAACAAAACTAAAAGGCAACCAATGGAATGGGAAAAGATATTTGCAAATGACATATCAGACAAAGGGCTAGTAACAAAAATCTATAAAGAACTCACCAAACTCCACACCCCAAAACAAATAATCCAGTGAAGAAATGGGCAGAAAACATGAATAGATACTTTTCCAAAGAAGACATTCAGATGGCCAACAGGCACATGAAACAATGCTCAATGTCACTCCTCATCAGGGAAATACTAATCAAATCTACACTGAGCTGCCATCTCATGCCAGTCAGAGTGGCTAAAATGAACAAATCAGGAGACTATAGATGCTGGAGAGGATGTGGAGAAACGGGAACCCTCTTGCACTGTTGGTGGGAATGCAAACTGGTGCAGCCACTCCAGAAAACAGTGTGGAAGTTGTCAAAAAATTAAAAATAGATCTACCCTATGACCCAGCAATAGCACTGCTAGGAATTTATCCAAGGGATACAGGAGTGTTGATGCGTAGGGGCACCTGTACCCCAATGTTTATAGCAGCACTTTCAACAATAGCCAAATTGTGGAAAGAGCCTAAATGTCCATCAACTGATGAATGGATAAAGAAATTGTGGTTTATATACACCATGGAATACTACATGGCAATGAGAAAGAATGAAATATGGCCTTCTGTAGCAACGTGAATGGAACTGGAGAGTGTTATGCTAAGTGAAATAAGTCATAGAGAGAAAGAGAGATACCATATGTTTTCACTCTTATGTGGATCCTGAGAAACTTAACAGAAGACCACAGGGGAGGGGAAGGGGAAAAAAGTTAGAGAGGGAGACAGCCAAACCATAAGAGACTCTTAAAAACTGAGAATAAACTGAGGGTTGATGAGGGGTGGGAGGGGGGGAAAGTGGGTGATGGGCATTGAGGAGGGCACCTTTTGGGATGAGCACTGGGTGTTGTATGGAAACCAATTTGACAATAAATTTCATATTAAAAAATAAAAATAAAACAAATACCATAAAAGAGACAAAGAAGTATCCTTCCCAAGAAGGATACTATACAATCATAAAAGGATCTATCCATCAAGATCTAACAATTGTAAATATTTATGCCCCCAACTTGGAAAAATCCATGTATATATATATATATATATATATATATATATATATATGGATTACAATATACAATATACAATGTACAATAATACTAGGAGACTTTAACACCCCACTGACAGCAGTGGACAGATCATCTAAAAGAAAAATCAATAAGGAAACAATGGTTCTGAGTGACACACTGGACCAAATGGACTTAATAGATATATGCAGAACATTTCATCCTAAAGCAGAAAAATATACATTCTTCTCGAGTGTACATGGGACATTCTCCAAAATAGATCACATACTGGGACACAAAACAGCCCTCAACAAGTAAAAAAGATTGAGATCATACCATGCATATTTTCTGACTACAATGCTGTGAAACTTGAAATCAACCACAAGAAATAATCTGGAAAGACCACAAATACATGTAGGTTAAAGAACATCCTACTAAATAATGAATGGGTTAACCAGGAAATTAAAGAAGAAATTTAAAAATGCATGGATGTAAATTAAAATGAAAACACAAAAACCCAAAACCTTTGGGATGCAGCAAAGGCTGTCTCAGAGGAAAGTACATTGCAATTCAGGCCTATCTTAAGCAGTAAGAAAGGCCCCAAATACACAACCTAAACTTACACCTAAAGTAGCTAGAAAAAGGAAAAACAGCACCTAAAGTCAGCAGAAGGGGGATAATAAAGATTTGAGAAGAAATAAACAATATAGAAACAAAAACAACAGAATAGGTCAATGAAACCAGGAGCTGTTTTTTTGAAAGAACTAATGCAGTTGATACACCCCTAGCCAGACTTATCAAAAAGAAAAGAGAAAGGACCCAAATAAGTAAAATCACAGGTGA